AAATTTTCCTGACCCACCCTTTTCGACGTGTTGAAAAATAGTGACCCACCCCCAATTTTTCGTAGCCCACCCCCCCCTCTACTTTATGACCGGTCCCTAAAGTCTGCAGTAATTTGGAATGGCCTTATTAACGGACCCAACCGATGTTGGCCCCAACACGAATTTTTTACCAAAAAATTACTGGTTATTACAGAAAATGTCTAAGAATCTATCAAAATTTTACTAAAAGAATTTTAAAATTACCCAAAGTAAAGCGTTCTTCACCTCCAGTACTCTACTTCTACTCCGCCTGGACTATTTTCGCATCTTTTTGGCAGTTTTAGCTTGTAATCAAATATAACATCATAAAAAACAAACTTTTTGCAACTGCTGTGATGGCCGAGTGGTTAAGGCGTTGGACTTGAAATCCAATGGGGTCTCCCCGCGCAGGTTCGAACCCTGCTCGCAGCGAAAAAAACTTTTTATAAGTTTTTGGATTCACAAACCGGTCGTATAATTTTTTTTCTCTCTGTACTCATTACAAATAAATATTTTTAGCCACAGATACTGTAAATAATGTCCTGAAATTTAAATAATTAGATAAAATATAAAAATAAGTTGCATTTAACTAGGCCCCAGTACTGTTCCCACGCGGATAAAAACTGCCTATTCGTAGGCTGTATTCCTTCGTAAGGCCACCCGCAACTTCTATGGCATATGATTATCACATTACATGCGGTAGTGGCTAAATCATGGACGAGCTAGAGGGAGGTTTTCAAGAGAGCTTAACTCCATTAAGTTGCATTGCGCCCTAATGTGACCTACTTTATGTGATTTTACTCTGTCTAACGCCGGACGGGAGAGTTAAAATTCGCTTTCAGCCCCGTTTACACGAACAAATTTTTTCATTTGATCAATTGCAAATGCATTTAATCAAAAGCGAGCATGCTAGCTTTTGTTCAAATGCATTTGTCACAATAAATTAATTTGTCACAATAAATTAATTTGTCACATCTACACGAGCAAAATGTCTTTGACATATGAAATTTGTCAAATAAAATTTGCTCTTGTAAACGGGACTTTAGTGCGGAACGTATTAAGGTGGCTCAATACGGTTTTTTAAAAAAAAATGGAACATTCACGATTTAGATGCGTATTTTTGGACAATTATTACTTGTTGATAAACAAAAAGTACCTTACTTATGTATAGGCCGTGGGCCGTTATGCGAAAAAGTGCTTAGAAAAGCAATTTCGCATAGTACCATAGATGCTCAATTAATACCACAAAACGTTCCCAAGCAAAAAACTTGCCAAACACCGAGAAAATGGGTGATCAGTGATTATCCTCTATTAAATTGTATTACAGCAAGAAAATGTGAAATTTTATATTCAATTACAACAAAAATTACTTGCATCATCAGCAAGCGTACAAAACGCTACAAAACAATTTGAGATATAAAAAAACTGTTTAAAAACAGTTTTTTTATATCTCAAATTGTTTTCGAGTTATACGATGTCAAAAACGCGTTTTTGACCTAGTACCCAGTCCTTATTGCGACATTTTGGTCCAATTTTCACATTTAAAACAGCAATAACTCAAAGACTATTTGAAGGATCAAAAAACTGTTTAAGAGTCTTATATGCGGTTTTTTGCACGTTTTCCACTTATGCATGTCATTTTTATTGTAATTGAATACAAAATTTCACATTTTCTTGCTGTAATACAATTTAATAGAGGATAATCACTGATCACCAATTTTCTCGGTGTTTGGCAAGTTTTTTGCTTGGGAACTTTTTGTGGTAATTGAGCATCTATGGTACTATGCATTGAACCACAGAAAATCTATTCCCCAGGGGGTTGCCACGAAGCGAAATAATTTTGGCCAACGGCCCACGGCCTAATAAAACCATAAGTAGCCCAACAATCAGTGGTATTAATTAATTCATTTCTGTTCAATAAAATCACACAACCACTTAGTCCCCGACTGCATTGTTTACGCGCGGTCAGATCATGTACGTATCCCTATAGTAATATATGCTTACTATAGGGATACGTACATGATCTGACCACGCGTAAACAATGCAGTCGGGGACTAAGTAGTAGTATGATTTTAATGAACAGAAATGAATTAATACCACTGATTGTTGGGCTACCTATGATAAAACAACATCTAAAGAGTTTGAATTTTTGCACAAATGTTGCGTAACTGCCGTTTCTATGGCAACAATGGCGTTTCAAGATGGCGGATATTTTGGCTTTAAAGTAATTTAACTCGTAAACGACATCGGTGACCCCAAAATTTTATTTTAAAAAATGATTTCTTTTAGTATAATCAATTATTTTGGCAATTTAAAAAAATTCTGTGGAGCCAAAAAAAAATTATTATGAATAATCACCTTTACGTAATTTTAAAAATTTCGTCTCCACAAAATTTTTTAAATTGTCAAAATAATTTGATTATACTAAAAGAAATCATTTTTTAAAATAAAATTTGGGGGTCACCGATGTCGTTTTCGAGTTAAATTACTTTAAAGCCAAAATATCCGCCATCTTGAAACGTCACTGTTGCCATAGCAATGGCAGTTGCTTAACTTTTGTGCAAAAATTCAAACTCTTTAAATTTTGTTTTATATAAGTAAGGTACCTATTGTTTATCAACAAGTAATAATTGTCCAAAAATACGCACCTAATTCGTGAATTTTCCATTTTTTTAAAAACTGTATTGAGCCATCTTAAGCTGTTTAATATATTCACCTACAGGTGAATATAACAATTCACCTACAGGTGAATGTAACAAAACCGAAATTTTCAAAATAGCGGCTAGCCGTTTTGTGGAAGTTACTAATAAAGAAATAAGCCGAAATTAAAATAAATTCAGTCCCAAAAAACACAAAAGATTTGTGTAAAAATACTAAACAATTATTCGCCTCAGGCTCGGTGATTATCGGGGGATATTCACCTTGACTTCGTCTCGGCGAATATTCCCCGATAATCACCTCGCCTTTGGCGAATAATTGTTAAATATTTCAGTCACATTTCTAACGTACTATTTCTCTTTCCATATTAACAGCCATTTATTGTTTGGAGACTAAATGGTCTAGATGCATTGAAACAATGGCGCAAACTTCCTGTGGACCGACATGGCATTGACACTGCTTTACAAAATCAGAAAAAATCAACATACCAAGTTGACTATGCTGGTATACAGACCGGTAGGTCAATGACACTCGCGACACTGTCACACTGAAATTGCCCTATAGTGGCTATACGACGTTAAAACGTCATGAATGTTTCTTATATCGACAGTATTCAGTGTACTATTCTGTAATTGACAGGCGCCAAGTTTTGGAAATCTGAATAAAAAAATCTTCACCGGATTTGATCCAAATTCTCCGGTTAGACTAGTCTCAAACACCTTGAACCTGTTCGCAGGCTACAAACACCTTGGCTTTGTATTCCCTTAACTATTTTATCGATTTCACCGGTCAATGAATGCGCCCTTTGATAGAGTCCGTATTGGTTTCACCATGGATAATAAAATAGATATTAGTAAAAAAAGTATTATAAATATATATTATATATTGTATATAGATATTAGTATAAAACAGATACAGTTATTTTACAATCCATGGTTTCACCCAAAGAGAGACTTGCATGGAACAATTCTATACCTAAAATTTAAATTCAGAATATAAAAGATTGGCCGAGTGCCGGTAGTTTCGATTTAAAGTTCGCGTATCGGTTAGCAGGTTGCATGTCGAGGTAAAGCAAGCCAAAGACTAGACCTGCTTCATGTGGGACGAAAGTTTAAATGCCGGGCTAAAGGGACTGAAATGTTTGCGAGAACATCTCATACTGTACTCTATCACTAGAAAAATTATGTAGTTTTGCTGAAGCATGAACCGTGAATTATTTCATTATATCAAAATTAAGTCGCCTCTCATCTCATCCCAGCAAAGCAGGATCATGTAAACAGCCCCATGAGGCAGACTTGGAGCAATTCTATAGTCAAAAGCAAGAACCAACTTGGCAACTCACAATTAACTTAAAATCACACTCATTATATCCGGCTTGAGGTTGCGTTGTTGAAGTCAATATATTATCTTCTAAATTATCTTTTTGCTTTGCTTACAGGATAACTCAATTGTCAAAAACGCTCGACGAAAAGGTTTTCTGAAGTGAAAAGCAAGGGCTAAAAAGGAGAGGTGCAAGACGTGATAAGTTGAAATATTAGCAATTAAAATTACAGTTTCTGTCGTACATATATATTAATATTACAAATATCAGCAGTGTCAATCAGTGTGTGCTGCTGTATAGTTTCTAAACTCACGTGGTGTTTGAATCACTACACCATTTAATCATAATTACTATTCATGTAGCATGGACTTTTTATTATTACGCCTGCTTCTTTGCAGCAGCTTTTATTCTTACTAAATGTCCAAGGGAGAAAACTCCACCATAAAATGTCTGCAAAACCCATTTCATTTGGTCGAAGGTATTGAATTGCAAGTCTCTACACAAAATAATGAAGACGTTATCATGTTTACTATATAAAGTACATGATTGGCAACCTCGACCTCGTGCATCTGGGCAAGACTTCACAATGAAATAACACATTATATTCGGGGGTGGATAGTGCTTTTCTGCTTTTCACGCAATTTGATTGATTGGTTGCTCAGCTCCGGATATCCTCGCACTATTCACCTCCGGACGAAAACAAAATGGCTTCCCGGCTACAGACGAGCAAATGTTTGTACTTAACGAAGCTGTGGCTTCACAAAACATAAGGAAAGCCATAAAGTTTTGCTTAACAGTGCGTGGAGGTATTCTTTAAAGCTATTTCTAATGAATAAAATTACTGAAGCATGTATATGCTGTTTTGTTTACAACTACAGTATTATGGGAGCTGAGTGAAGTACAAATTGTTTTTAGAATATTTTCGTTGTTTTTCTGTCATTTTTGTTTTGTTGTAGTATATGCTAAAACAATAATTCACCTCAGTGTTGGTGAGTAGTGCAAACATATTCACCTCAACGCTTCGTGTTTCGGTGAATATCCTTACACTATTAACCTCCACTTCGGTGAATAATTGTACTAAATATTGTAAAAACTTCAATATTAGTAAAAGTGCAAAGTTTCAGTTTATACGGCATTCAATTTAAGATTAAAACATTTCTTAGCACCTCCTAGCTCCGTAGGCAACTCGGTGGAAAACAATGCCGAAATTACACAGATTGAGGGGGGCGTGGTAGTTCCATTTCCTGACTGCACAATTATCCCTCAAGATCCCCTGTTTTCCACATCTTTCTCTATACAATATTGCATAACTCTTCCTATTGCTACCGAGTTGCCCACGAATGCAAATTTCTCGATGTTGGGCTGTTTTAACAAGGTTTGGCTTTGAAAACATCGATTTGGCTTGTGTATAAAATTCACACTCGAAATTTCCATCTACAAAATCGTTGCACTATTCCACGTATCATTGCAGTTTTTGATGTTAAACAAGTGAAAATTTAGCAAACGTTACTTATCAAGTGTAAACTAAGTGACTAATAATAAACCTATACTAATAGTAATCGAAGAAACAGATCATCAGTTCAATGGTTTGGGTGTTCCTAATGACTCATAGTATAATTGTATATACCATTTTTCTATATCACTGTTTATAGATTATCAATTACCTGCTAATTTTCCATGCAACCAGTGCTTCAAGTACATGAATGAAAACGATAACGAAATATCTAAAACAAAATATCGTATAGCATGTGATTATATGCATGGGTATGACTAAAAGGAGAGTTATTACAGGGCCGGGAGAGTCAAGATTTCGGAGAGGTAAGATTTCCACGTTCACTTTTTCCATCGACCACTCCTAATTTCTTAACTCTCCTGCAATTTCTCAGCTAACATGAGAGTAAAATAAACACTCACAACGATAAACCTCGATAACCTTGACGAAACAACAATATTGTACGGGAAAAAGTATAACATATAAGAAAAGCCTACTTCGTGATACTGTTGGTATTAGTTTGAACCTCTCTATACTGACAAAATTTTAAGGTGGGCACTTGGAATGTCAGGACACTTCTTGATCGCAAGGAGTCGACAAACCCTGAACGACGAACTGGCATCGTAGCAAAAGAGTTGGCTCAATACTACAACATTAACTTTGCTGCACTTCAGGAAACCCGTTTCAGCGATGAAGATCGATTGACATAAACAAGGGCTGAATATACCTTCTTCTGGAAGAGAAAGCCAGGGAGTGAAAAAGGGGTGGGCGGGGTAGGCTTTGGCATTCATACTGAGTTAACCAATCAAGTTGAACAACCTCATGGTTTCAGCGATACAATCGTGTACTTTCGCGTTCATTACCATGCAACCGATCTATGACTGTCCTTTTGTCTTGACAGCAGCGAAGAATCTATTATGACTTTCTATCAAGATTTCAGGTCAGTCATAACCTCCATTCCAAAAGCTGATAAAGAGAACCTCCTTGGTGATTTCAACGCCCGAGTGGGGCGAGATCACGAGACCTGGGCTGCATTAGGGAAGTATGGTTTTGGCAAGTTGAATGGTGATGGTCTTCACCTCCTCCAGCTTTGCACTGAATTCGAATCCTCATCTGCAACACCTTTTCACATCAGAAAGATGCCCATAAGGCTACTTGGACGCACCCACAATCCAAACATGCAGGGCATATTCTCGATTACGTGATCACTCGTAAACGGGACCTTCAAGACGTTTGCATGTTCGAGTCATGCGAGGTGCAGTGTGTGGTACAGATCATCGGCTTGTACGTGCCAAATTGAAACTCCGCATCATGCGTAAATCTCGATATCAAGGGGTAAAAGTACCCAAACGCATCGATGTGTCGAAATTGCAGGACTCCAAATTGCAGGACTCCACGCTAAGACCTTCAAAAAGCTTTGGAGGATGTACAATATGACGGCACATGGGAAAAGTTTAAGACTGAGGTCTACAACGCTAGCGTTGCAGTTCTTGGTCTTAGGAAGCGAAAACATCGTGATTAGTTTGATGAAAATGATCCTCAGATCCGTAAACTTCTAGAAGACAAAAACAAGATGCACCAACAATATCTGATAAAGATCGCGAGTCTTTATATCAGTCTTTTAAGAGTGCAAAATCGTCTCTCCAGTGTAGCATACGTACGTCGAATGAAAAACCAGTGGTGACGGACATTCCCAAAGAAACCCAGAAAGCTTACGACAGTAAAGACTCAAAAGCATTATATCACTTAATCAGACAACTGTTCGGTCCTCAATCATCATCTGTGGTACCTCTCAAGTCTAAGGACGGTTCTACTATTCACAAGGATCCTGAGGGTATCATGAAACGATGGACTGAACACTTCACAGATCTTTTTTACAATCCCTCAGTCATTAATGAAAACATCATCAATAATCTGCCTCAAAAGGGTATTATCCTTGAGATGATGGATCATCCCTCCATCGACGAGATCCAAAAACCGATCAAACAAATTAATATTGGGAAGGCACCAGGTCTTGATATGGCATTCCTATTGAGGTTATTCTTCATGGGGTGACAAACTTGCTGCAGAGATCCACCGTTTGATATCAGACGTCTGGTTAGGTGACCTTATTCCTCAAGACTGGACTGATGCAATTTTAATTTCATTGTACAAAGGTAAAGGATTAAAATCGGTGTGTGTCGACTACAGGTATAAGCCTGCTTGAAGCGGTTGCTAAAGTTTTTGCGAAACTCTTACTTAATCGACTTATTAAGTGGGTATGTCCCTCTGTTATCCCAGAAAGCCAATGTGGGTTTAGATCTGGTCGTGGTACGATGGACATGATCTTCTTTGCCCGTCAACGCCAAGAGAAATGTATCGAACATCGCGTAGCTCTTTACCAGGTCTTCGTAGATCTAACAAAAGCTTTTGATACTGTGAACAGATCCGCACTCTGGATAATTCTTGGTAAACTTCGTTGTCCTCCCGATTTCGTAAACATGTTTAAACAACTCCATCGTGACATGAAAGCACGCTTTAACTTCGATGGTTCTCTCTTGGAACCAATATCCATCGACAACGAATTAAACAGGGTGATATTCCTGACGACCGCTGTAACTCTCTCTTACGCCTTCCAAGACTGTGATATCGGTGTCCTCATACGTTTCAAGACGATGGGAAAAGTATTCAATCTCGCGCGTTTCAACGCTAAGTCAAAGACTTTCCAGACCCTCGTTCGGGAGCTGCTCTATGCTGATGATGCTGATTTTGTTGCTCAGAGTGAAGACGATATGCAAGCAATAATGAATCTTTTCTCGAAAGCATCCACTCAACTTCACCTTGAAGAAAAGCAAGGTCATGTATACACCACCTCCGGGTCACCCTTATGTCGAACCCAACATCTTCGTCGAGGGTCCCAGACTGGACGTGGTGGGCTCGTTCTCTATCTTGGCAGCATTTCTCTAGAGATGGATCCCTCGATTCTGAAATACATCTAAGGATCGAGAGAGCTAGCAAAGCCTTCGATAAGCTTGAAAATCGTGTATGGTCTGACAGAGCTATTACCATCAAAACTAACCTCAGCGTTACGGACTACATATCGTCGACACATCAAGTCTTTGGAAAGGTTCCATCAAACATGCCTTAGGAGGATCCTAAACATCAAATGATAGTCTCTTATACCAGACACAGTTGTTTTTCAACGAGCCAATATATACAGTATCGAAACCCTTGTCATACGTAATCAAATACGTTGGGCTGGGCACCTTGCCACCTTACTAGGATGGAAGACGATAGACTCCTAAGCAATTGTTCTATGGGGAATTACAACGTGGTAAACGTCCAAGACATGAACATAAGAAACGTTTTAAGGATGCTGTTAAAAACAGCCTTAAGGCTCTTAGTATAAATGTTGAAGATTGGGAGAAGACGAGTGAAAATCGATCTGTGTGGAGAAAAGTGATTTATGTTGGTTGTAAGGGGTTTGAAGCGAGGCGAGTTGAACATTGCATCGTGAAACGAGCTTTGCGAAAACAGGACACTTCAAACATCCCAGACACCATTCAGCCTGAACATGTTTGCAATATTTGAAGCAGGCTTGTCTGTCAAAAGCTGGTCCTGTCAGCCATATTCGATCTCATGGCTGAACAAAATCCTGAACATTTGGTATTCTGCCCTGTTTCTCTTCAGCCATGTTTTTCAATATATATTCACTTGGCGCCTCTGGCTTGGCACGCGCGATTTTGCCGAACAGATCCACTTTCGTTTTTCCAATTTACTTCTGCTTCCTCATCTTTTAGTTGTATTTACTTCTGCTTCCTCATCTTTTAGTTGTATCGGTTTATATTCTAGTTGTACCGGTTTATCGTTTAGTTGTATCGGTTTATGACATTGACGTATAGCACATAACATCAATTTATACCGCATGAACTCGATTGATGCATTTCAGATATTTTGTCCGTTAAAAACTTCATACTCAGCAGCCTACTGGCTTCACATGTCGACTTTGTGACAAAGTATGTAGGTCTGAAGTTGGGTTAAAAAATCACCATACAAAAATGCACAAAGACCACGTGAATATTAACAGCAACAAAGACATATATCTGTTTAGGCTAATTAAGAGGTCACCAAACGACCACAGGTGTTTTTGATAAAAAATATTTCTTTTAGCTTTTTGTCTTGGTCAATGTCCATGTTTATATCTTCAATTTCTTTACAATCGTAACCCTAATCCTTAATCCTAACATTAATCCTTGTGACGTCAATTCGGAGGTAGTGATCATATGCTATAATACATCATATGCTATAATACCAGCAACATCACCTGTTACAAACATCGAAGTCGAAATACCGTCACAAGAACACGGTATTATCTATGGTCAATCTATTACTTCTATCTATTAATTTCAAGCAGAATTTGTAACAAACGAGGTTACAAAAAGGAATTTGCCGTTTCTGAAGTCTAGTCGCTTTGCCATTGCGAGAAACTCGTTTGAACAATTATTTAATTAGATCCCTATCTAATCTTTTAAGTACGTCCTCTACCGTTATTAGCGGGCTGTGGGCTGGTTTTGTGTAGCAATTATATAGAATGCTTTACCTGGTCATAAAACACTCAAGTCTGAAGTCAGATACTCTCGAGTTTAGTAATTTAGTAATTTAGTAATGAGTACTGAAATTCCACGACAATGATCGATTTGGTCTTTCTTACAACATACTGTACATAGAGTACCACTGGAAAAAAATTTGAAAATCCATAGAAGGTCATAGAATGGAAATCGTATGGACCTTTATTGGAAATAGAATGGATTTTGGTTATCCATAATAATTGTATAATCAATAGTATGGATATAGTATGGAAATAGGATGGATATACTATGGATTTAGTGGACCAATTGCAACTTTCGTAGTATGGATTTCACTTTTTTTTTCCAGTGACAGTGTAGGCTACGTAACATATTGACTTATAATACTTACAATGTTTTTATACCATTATTGTATTCCTTTGCAAAATGACAAAGACGATCACCAAAATTGCCCAGTTGTTGACAAGGTAGTAAGTTTGGCGAAAAAGATAGAATCTTAAAAATTAAGCAGTGTTACAATTACATAATTATCTAAATATAGACAGGTTTTCACAACTCGGATAATAAGGCTTACTTCAGCAGGATTTTTTGAATTATTGAAGTTGTGCCTAAACTTTGTGTAAGGTGTGTCCACAATTGTAACATAGTGTATTAAGTGTGAATCCAGATGCATTATAGCACAGCATCATATTTTACCAAATCACCTAAACAAATGTTATGTAGAAATGAAATTATTTTGTTCTATTATTCATGCAGATCTTCCAACTATCACGGTTTAACTATGTCGGGATTCACAGTTTCAAGTCTCGTTTTCCACAATGAATGACAATTGTAATAAATTACAACCAAAATCTAACTTGTAAGATCAAATAGAAACATATTTGTTATACAGTAACCATGATGTGCACCTGCCATGGCAGCCGTGCCAAAAAAGCCAAATATGAAAATGCCACTGGGGGAAAGTGCAATAAACAGTGATTAAATTAACAACTTATTAAATTACCTATTTACCTCGTTGATGAAATAAATAAAAGAAAAATGGAGTACTTACAAATTTATAATGACAGCAATTACTGAATGATTTCTACTTACCACTCGCTGAACACTATGGTGCAGCAAATGGTGGTCAACCAGTAAAAAATGTCAACACGAAAAGTATGGCCGCAGAAAGGAAATTACACTTGATAGCAAAATGGCCACCGTTCAGCTTGCATTTTGGATATGAGAATATAGTCGCTTCTTTTCAACACTTTTCTTCGTAGTGTTCGATAATTTTAAAACAAGAAACGTCTTTGTTTTGGGGAAACGACAAAACGAGGACCCCAGGTCCGTGGACTACCTTCGTGGACCTGGTCCGTGGACCACTCTCGTGGACCACTCTCGTGGACCACTCTCGTGGACCACTCTCGTGGACCACTCTCGTGGACCACTCTCGTGGACCACTTGCGAGACACCAGATTTTTGGGGTTTGAATTCTTGACTGTGCATGCAAAAATGTGCTCGAGTCGAGTTCAGTCATTATTATCATTGTGGAAACTTTACACAAAATGTGAAGTTCTAAATCCATTCACTACATGATCGTTCTAAAATATAAGTGTGCAATTACCACTTTAATGCAAAGTTTCCGAATATATGCCCTTAAAATTGGTAGTTTTTTCTCGATCGCTACAGGAAATGCATGAAAAGCAGTAATCGAGCTTCAAAAATTAATATTTTTGGGAGAGGACCTTCAGGCATTGAAAGGTCATTGCAACTACGGCTTCTACAGTTCAAGTGATTTTTTAACAGTAAAATTCGAATAATTCAGTAAAATCCTTTGACCACCCCCCCCCCCTCCCCCCTCCAGATTCTCCACATTATTTCCTATATTTTTTAATGGAACCCTGACTACATTTTTTCCAGCATTTTTACAGACTTTGTATTCACTGTTCATCAACAAAAACTGAATTGATTGTGAAATAAATAATGGAATGAATAATGAAATAGTTCCCGCCAATCTCGGCTCCCTAAACTCGGAATAATAGTGCTTGGTCTATTGTTCGGTAGGCGAAATTTCGCAAGTGGTCCACGAGTGTAGTCCATGGACCAGGTCCACAAAGGTAGTCCATGGACCTGGGGTCCGAGTTTTGTCGTTTCCCTTTGTTTTGTGCTGTAAAGTCTGTTTTGACCGATGTACAGCGAAATCGAAGCAAAAATGGACGAGAAAATGCGTATAGAACAACCGAGGGAGCGAACAATCTGTCCACAAATACATTCTAGATCTGAGAGGAAGGTACTTTTCAACATTTTAAGGTCGCCTTTAATTAACAAACATCTGACTGATCACCATTTCGACCATACCTAGTATTTTCCCAACGATTGAGTGTTTTGTGTGGCTTTTTTCGCTCAGGTGAATATTGCACTCAGAGTAAGATCACAAGCATCGTATTCAAAACCATCAATAACTTTAGCTGCACATGTAAATTCTACACATCCCAAATATTTTGGGATCGAACAAGGTTGTTGACTTTGTTATTTGTGTAAACTTTTGGGGCTATAATCGCCTAGAGTGGAGGATTCACTGATTCTCAAAGATTCACTAATTCTCGAATTACGCTTGTTAATTAACAATTATTCGCCGAAGGCGAGGTGATTATCGGTGAATAAAAACCGAGACGAAGTCGAGGTTTTTATTAGTAGTAAGGTGAGGGGCTTAATACACCCCGTTTATGCGCATAATTAAGGGGGTCACCCTTAATAATTCATGAGTTATGCAAATTAATTAGCATAATCGATGACGTATTTTTCCGATGATTTTCCGACGATGATAAAACAACGAGGGCTTTCCGATAATTAATTTGCATAATGATGACGTATTTTCCGAAGATTCTCCGAGGCTGATAAAACAACGAGAGCTTTCCGACTAGTCGCCATTTTGTTTCAAGATGGCGGAAGGGTTAATAATGGGTGTTTTAAGGAAAAATAACATTGAATTGAGTGTGAATACTTTTCGTTTCCATTTAAAATTGCTTTTGGAAAAGCATGGAGGTTTATTTGAGAGCATGATATCTCGTATTGGAAGAGAAAACGTGCTAGAAAATTTGTGTGTAATCTATCAAGAGTTAGAACCTTCAAATTTTGGTCGAATTATGGCTTACTTGACTTTAGTTTACAAAGTCAGTGATTTTTGTGAGCCTGAAATTGTGCAAGAAGCCGTAGAAATCTGTGTATGGGAATTAAAACAAGTGGATTGCGCTAGCTTTGAAATAAAACAATCTTGGATACAACGCTTAGTTGCATGGTTGCTGCATAGTAGTAACCTGGCGAAATTTGAATATCACTAATCCCTAAAAAGTCATTAAGAAGTCATTAACTGTTGTACATGGGTGAACACATTGTAATTTGACGACTTGGTCTGAACATGTTTGTGCAAAACGGCTTTAACAACTGGACAACCCTGATTTGTACAATAGAGGGGTTGTAGATAAATATCACACACTGACAGTGATTGTCATATAAACAGCAATGGAGTGTTTGCATGGAGTGCCGGCGTCCGCAGTTTCTACAAAAAATGGAAAATTTTGGTTTTGCAACAAAAATAACCAGAAAAGTTGTGAATTCTTCTGCCCTGAGCAAGACCGCTTGTTGTTCGAAACGGCTATGATAATGTGGAGAGCGAATGGATCAATTCATCCGGTGTGTGATACTCACCAAAGACTAGCAAGAATGAAAGTCGTCAAAGACGTTGGTAAACTGAACTTTGGAAGACCGTTTTTTGTTTGTTGCGACCGCGAGAATCCGTGTAATTTCTGGCAGTGGGCTGACAGACACGAGTTGCCAAAACCAAAATGCAGACACGGATTGAATGCTTGCGTACGGAAAGTCAAAAAGGAAGGAGAAAACCAAGGTCGCCTTTTCTTTTGTTGTCCAAACGAGCGAGAAAAGTCGTGCGGATTTTTCGAATGGAAACTCGATCTGGAAAACCCGTTCAACCAAGTTCATTTTCCTCACGTTGAAAGAGTTGGTATATTGCAGAGTAATCCTGCGCTGTACACATACATGGTAGCTGAAACTGGACTTACCTTTACCAGCGCACGGGAAAATCCACACGATGCCTACGCCGAATATATTGGGGAATTGCCTATTTTCTCACCAACGAGAGATATGGAGCAACTGTCACTGATAGACTATTAGGAGACTATAATTAAGCTATTAAAATATTGTTATATTAACCCGAACAGAACACTTAACTAGCTAAACCTAGTGAGTGAAATGTTGTATAAATACTATAAATAAAAATCATAATCGTTTTTCTTTCTTTCAGTTCAAATAAAATTACTTCGTCGTCTTCTTTATGCCTAAGAGGGTAAAGTTCAATAGGATTGCGACGGATGACGCGTTGCCTTTGTAGTAGAAACCTGCGCCGTATCAGGAACACGCACACTGCTAGGACAATCACCAGCGGTAAAATCGCCATCAGCCATAACATTTTTCTCCCTTCCTTTTTCCATTTTTTGTTCGTTGAAGGTTCAGTTCGGCTCAAACGACCCGAATCGTGTTTTGCGGTACTGTGATTAAACTTATTGGACACGGCAAAACAGAAAAAAAAATTCAACAAAACAACGATAACCCGAACAGAACACTTAACCTAAATCTAGTGAGTGAAATGTTGTAAATACGCTTTGGCCCGAATAGTACAAAAAGTACAAATATTTTTACGTAGACTCTAACTCTACCATTGCCTACAAGGGCGGACATTATGAAAAAGACTTACTGAACATGCAGTCTCAGTATTCCAGCCGTAAATTGGGAGTCCTTTGGATGTCCTGAGGCTGGGGAACTCTTTGAAACCTGCAAAAAACCACCTGTCAACACTGTCCGAAAGTTGTGTAATACCATTAACAACTGAATCGTATCAACGCAAGTATTACGTAATTGTACTGCACTGATAATATTACATACTAAGTCTGAGCCTTTGAAAATGAGTTTTTCACAAAATTTTGAGACTGCTCATGAGCGAATGCTCATCTGCTCACAAGGCCCATTTAACCCAAACTACTGTGTATGAGCAGATGAGCATGATGAGCATGTGCTCATAACTGCTCATGAGCACATGCTCATCTGCTCATGAGGCCCGTTTAGGCCCAATGGCCCGACGTGCATTCTTCGTTCGTGGGAGCCCAGACACTACTTTTTATGTACACAAATGTATAATTTTTCGTATTCGCATGTTTTTGCCATTTTGATTTCTATCCGGCCAACCCATGTAAAAATAACAAGAAAAGATAGGTATAATTGAAAAGCAATTTATTTTAATGACTCGAAGTTACATGCTGTGTCTATACTGGTATTGTTTTGCATGCTAATACTGTTCGAGTACAAGACTTTGATCCTATATTCGACCTATCAGTCGAGTCTAATCATGATTGCATGTCATCATCATCATTCTCTTCATCAAAATCGTAACCCTTCACCTACGCACAGATGACAGATTTTGTTAGATCATGTCGGGTACTGCTCATGAGCACGTGCTCATCTGCTCATAACTGCTCATGAGCACATGCTCATCTGCTCATAACTGCTCATGAGCACATGCTCATCTGCTCATAAAACTGCAGTGCTGCTCAATAACAAGGCATTTCTGTACAGTCAGTGCTAACGGAATGAGCTGCAAATTTTGCAGAAAGCAATTTAACCGTGGTTACAATTTACGAAGACACGAAAAGGAATACTGTCCCCTTCGTGCCCAAGAAAGAAATATGTCCCAAACAGATTCGGATAGCCAGGAAAGGGATTTTCAAGACGATGTCTCGACAACTTCAACTGATGTGTCTGAAACTTCGACGAGGACTGATAAGTCAGAAACTGAAGAAGAAATGGACCCTTGGATACCGTTAATAGAAGAAGCAAAACAAAGAAGAAATATAGCTTTAGAGGAAATGAAAGAAAGCCTTATAAACACTGGTCTAGATGAGCAATCCGCTAAGGACAAAGCTTTCTCTAATATGTTGCCTAAACTCCAGAAGGAACTGGGAAATATTTATATGGAGCGTCTCGTGTGGATGAAACAACTAAAGAAAGATCCAGTACATAAGAAGATCATGCACACAAAAGATGCGCTTGTGGAAAACGATGATTTTGATCCAGAAGAAGCGTTAGAAGCAGCTGTTGATAAGAGAAAATTTCTTATAAGAAGGCTTTTAAAGGGTTACGATTTTGATGAAGAGAATGATGATGACATGCAATCATGATTAGACTCGACTGATAGGTCGAATATAGGATCAAAGTCTTGTACTCGAACAGTATTAGCATGTAAAACAATACCAGTATAGACACAGCATGTAACTTCGAGTCATTAAAATAAATTGCTTTTCAATTTTACCTATCTTTTCTTGTTATTTTTACATGGGTTGGCCGGATAGAAATGAAAATGGCAAAAACATGCGAATACGAAAAATTATACATTTGTGTACATAAAAAGTAGTGTCTGGGCTCCCACGAACGAAGAATGCACGTCGGGCCATTGGGCCTAAACGGGCCTCTTGAGCAGATGAGCATGTGCTCATGAGCAGTTATGAGCACATGCTCATCATGCTCATCTGCTCATACACAGTAGTTTGGGTTAAACGGGCCTTGTGAGCAGATGAGCATTCGCTCATGAGCAGTCTCAAAATTTTGTGAAAAACTCATTTTCAAAGGCTTAAACTTAGTATGTAATATTATCAGTGCAGTACAATTACGTAATACTTGCGTTGATACGATTCAGTTGTTAATGGTATTACACAACTTTCGGACAGTGTTGACAGGTGGTTTTTTGCAGGTTTCAAAGAGTTCCCCAGCCTCAGGACATCCAAAGGACTCCCAATTTACGGCTGGAATACTGAGACTGTTCAGTAAGTCTTTTTCATAATGTCCGCCTTTGTAGGCAATGGTAGAGTTAGAGTCTACGTAAAAATATTTGTACTTTTTGTACTATTCGGGCCAAAGCGTATTTACAACATTTCACTCACTAGGTTTAGGTTAAGTGTTCTGTTCGGGTTATCGTTGTTTTGTTGAATTTTTTTTCTGTTTTGACGTGTCCAATAAGTTTAATCACAGTACCGCAAAACACGATTCGGGTCGTTTGAGCCGAACTGA